GGAGGTTAAGAGAATTAGTACCCATATTTAACAATGGTAGTGAACAGCAATAACTATTTAAAGTAGTTAACTTCTAAGACAACAGGTCAAGTGTGCTGCCAAACACATTGACATTGAGTTATATGTTGTAAAGGAGAAAATCTAGAATCATTTTGAAAGCATTGAGCATATGAGTACCAAGCAAGTACTTGCGGATCCACTTACCAAAGGCTAACCATCCAGTGCGTTCAGAGAACACATAGTCGACATGGATTTACGAGAAAACCTATGATTTCTGGATACTAAGGGCCTAGTTGAAAATCTGTTTTAAAACAGAGGTGTGCATTATAGTTGTTTAATCTAGTGGCAACTGTAGGATCTCTGGTACGCCTAGGTGGGGATGAATAGGCCTGTAAAAATTCAACTTAAACCGAAATCAAATTCACCCGCGACACTGCCGCACCTGCAGGAGAGATTAGTTCACAGTTCAAAATCTACCCAACGAAATTTAGATAGGGTAAATTTCTTAGCTTCCTGCAGGGTGGTAGATCACAGATTGACAGTTGAAAGTGGTGGAAAGATCACACACAAGTAGTTCAGCCTCAATTCTAGAAATCACCTCAACAACAACAAGAACACAAGTGAATCAACACAAGCACAAGATGACACAAGGATTTATCTCGTGGTTCAGCTCGCCACCAAGGATTGCCTATGTCCACGTTATTAAGGTATACCACTAAGGCTCAGGGATTTGCAATCCTACCTTGTTCTCAAGTAAAGAGAGTGAACTCTTGAAATGATGGGTGATTTTACTCACTGCAAGAGGTGGTTACAAACCAAGTGCTCTTTAGAGTTTAGGAATCAATGGAGATGCTCTCTTATCAAGTTTTGGACCCTTATCCCTCAAGAATTGATGGGGAAATCAATGAATTTGCTTGAGGGCTTAAGGTCAACAATGGAGTGAGAGAGAGAGAGAGCTCCTGCTCTATTTTGAATGTGCTAAAGTGAGGAAGAAGGGAGCAAGTTGGTTTGTTTGTCTATCCCATTGGGAAAGAAAGGGAAAGGTATATATACCCCAGGCTCCAACGGTCACTTAAATCGTAGAGAGTCGTTGGGAAGAAAAAGAAAAGGTATATATACCCCCAGCCCCCAACGGACATTTCACCTAAGAGGTCGGGCGAGACGAGACCGCCACCAAATGGTCATGGTTCCATAGCTTCATGATCAAAGGCTTGGTGAGAGACAAGCCCCGATAAAAAGGTTTGGGCGAGCGTAGAGCCCACAACCTTGGGGTTGGGCGAGAGTCGAACCCGTGACCTAGGGTCGGGCGAGATGGAGTTGCGACCAAAGGGTCGGGCGAAGTAGCCCACGACCCAAGCTAAGTAAGGCGAGAACAAGCCCGCGACCAAAGGGAGGGTACAAATGGAACCCACACGAGAGGGTGTCAGTGGGCGAACGGGTTGCTCGCACCCAAGGGATCAGGCGAAAAGCTCGCAACAATTGGGTGGCATGTCGAGCTCGCATCCCATAGTAGTATGGATAATAGTGAAGTGTAGAGGCATTTTTGGAGGTTGAATCTGAGAATACATGTGATTGTTTGAGCACTTGTAATAACCATTAAGTAGTTAACATTGAGCCCCCCTTTCAAATGTTTTTTCATATATTCAAATTCAATATATAAAAGAATTTAAACCTCCTTTGAGTTTGAAGCCATCTATATTTGTAGTTGGGGGCTCCTCCGTTTCGTGTAACATCCTCGAATATAAATTCCCTACTTGTCATCTCGATAAATCTCATTAGTTCTCTAATTGCGAGGTCATTATCATCAAAACCCATAATTAAGGCTTGATTGCACTTTCAGCAACTGACCGTGACGATGAGGTACGCTCTATGCAACGATCTGTAATGGAATGGAAAAAATATAAAGTAAGTTGAGTTTAAATCATAAGATGAGATCAAGGGGGAGGATGTTAGGATGATCTCCACCAGTTGGTCCAACGGCCAATTGGACCCTTGAACCACGCCCTGATCGGGGGCGCTCAGCCGGTTCTCCTGGCTGATGGGCCCCCGTCGCACAGCGCCATAAAAGGACGGTGGGGACTGGGGCACAAGACATGAGGTCACCGATAGCCGCTAGTCCCACCCCGAAGTTCTTAACCCTAGTCCGATCAAGGGGGCACTGTGAGCGACGTGAATGTCATCGTCTTCGCTGCTGCCACAGCACCGCACCTGCACGGTTTCCCCTACTACGACTCCAGTGGACATGTCACGGTGGCGCCGTGGCCGTGACTGCATATGGCGATGTACGTCACCAAGTCTCCTGTCTAAATCAAGTTTTTATCCCATAATCTACAATCTAATTTGTCATATTTTCTATCAGAGAAGACGAGGCCGAAGTCGCCTCCAATCTGGGACCTGTCGCCCTCCTTTCCTCGAGAGCCTCTGCATCTCTGTTATTTTTTATATAAAAAATGCAATCTGAACACTCAGGGTATCCATTCCATGGAAGTAAACCGCAAACGAAATTATGGACACCAACTGTATTTCTATTCCTTTTTTTTTTACCTCAACAACATGTTGCATATGTACTGTTCCTGCGTCAAGCTATGGCTAGGCTAGAGAGGCACATAAACTGCCACTGGATCACAGTGACACTGTCACAGTCTCACAGACCTCATTGCCACTGTCCTCGCTTGTTATTAATCTTCATCGTGTCCTTGGAGCTAGCGTTGCAGGCGATTGACTTTCATTGCTTCAGTTCAAAGGATGAAGAGGATGCAGTACGTACGTGCTTCTTGGCGTCAGAGAGATATGCAGTACTACTGCATATGCTGCAGCAAAACCTCATCACGGAAGACTCCGCAACAGTGCGATGTTCTTTCCAGTCTGACAAAGGCCGCGCAACGAAATTCTCTTGCCCATTTTCTGACTTTTCTTCCACAGCCATCTTCTCCTCCTCGTCTTAAAGATGCCTTTGGCTTTGGGATGTTTGTTTGAAGATTGTGAAGAAGAAGAGAAGACGACGGTATTAATCGATGACGTCATTCCCTGCGTGCAATGAGCCATCCCCTTTTAGTTAATCATAATCCTGAGTCGTCTCGGCGCCCCGTCGTGTGATCGCGAAATCCAACGTCTGCCACACGCACAGGGCACGTATTGCAGTACGTATATGCGCGGCACACCGTACGCGGCTACGCGCAGGAACAGTAGCGAAAAGTCAACTGCCATTTGCCATTGGGCCCGGACGGTGATGGGAGCCCAGCACGAACACGCAAGATCACGAGCCCAAGAACGTCCAATCCCCCGCGTACGTCGCGGGAGCACGTCTGCACTGCACGTACGTACGGCGGAAGTGCAATCCTCCTAGTACGCCGAGTTGCTTGAGTAGGCGGTGAAGGGACAGCGCGGCAGAATCTGTTCCCTCCATCCCAAAAATAATATAATTACAGTTATACTAGTAAATACTATTCACTTTTACGGCTTTAAAAATAATTTGCTATGAAAATACATTTCGTAGTTAATCTAATGATATTTATTTGATATTATAAATATTGTTATTTTTTAATCTATAATTGATCGAATTTAGGATATTAAACCATGATACTGTGCTATAATTGTATTCTTTTCTGAACGAAGAATGATACTATGCTATAATTGTATTCTTTTCTGAACCAAGAGAGTCCTCTAGATGCACCGTTTCCCATGCTTGACTTCTAGTTCCCGGACGCGGACAAAGCACATGCCCCGTTTAACCCATCGAGTCATATTAACCCTTAGTAAGTACAACCTCAGATTAAACGGAAGTGCAATGCACAACTATTTGCTTTCTTGAGTCGAGTCGGGCCCCAAGTCTCTTCAAGGGAAAGGGAGGTTAGATAGAGCACTAAGGCCCTGATTGGTTAGTTACTAAAATTTGTCTTGTTCAAGATTTGACAAGCTATGATTTTGACTATTATTTAATTTCCTATCAAAACTTGTTAATTTCTCATATTTAGCTTGCCAAATCTATAACAAAATTTTTTACATAACTTTGGCATGGCAAATTTTGATCGCAAATCAATCAGACCCTAAAATAGTGTCTTAGGAGATGGAGGAGCTGTAATAAATTTCCTATCCTATCTCCTATACATGCAGGAAATTTCCTATGACATCTTTTATATCTATATTTTTTAAGAAATCTTCTAAAAACATCATCTCTCCTAAACAGTCCTATCCTAAATTCTAAATAAATATAGAAGATAAGTTTTAGGTAATCCGCTGTAGCAGTATTCTCGTATATCCTAAATTGACTAGGATACTCTGTTAAAGCAACTTATACAAGATGCAATACGAGAGATTTTATAGAGACGCTCTTAGATCATCACACACAAGTTAATTAGTACAGTAGGTTACAAAACAGCATCCAACAGACGGCGACATCTCTTAATGCCATTGGATGCTAACATATCAAGTTCAACATCAGTACTATATCTCTAAGAAAAATCTTACATGAAACCTTCTAAAGTCTAGCAAAAACGCCAAAAGAAAAAAGAAACATAATCCTGAAAAAATGCCGGCTTTGTGCAGTCGAAGCAATCTCACCTTTGAAGTTCGTTCCTCAACGAATGTTTTTGTTTTGCACGGAGGAAAAAGATTCCTACGGGATCGGCTGGCGCCCTAGCTATCCATGCGGGTTCTGAACGATTTTTTTTTTTTTTTTGAGACGAGGGTTCTGAACGAACTGAGACATCCACTAGGCAGGCGCTGGTGCTGTTCAAAACATACCATGATACCAGCGTGCAGGGGAGGGGGAGCAGAGCAGAACCTCCCGAAGCGGGCGGGCCGGCCGCGGGGTGCCACCGCATTTACCAGCCACATGCACGCATTCATTGCCGCCCCGATTTAACACCCCCGACCCGGACCCGACCCCCTCCCCTTGTAATGACATCGCCGGGTACTGCGACCACTACTACCCTACCACAAGCGCAGCCGCAGGCCGCAGCGGCCGCCTCCGGAGAGGATCGGAGAGAGAGGGAGAGGGCATGGAGATGAGCAGGGGGTGGCAGGAGCTCGGCGTCGTCGACACCATCTACGAGGACGACCACGAGGAGGAGGAGGACGACGACCACGACGAGGAACAAGAGGAGGAGCGCTTCGACTCGCCCACCATGTCGTCCTCGGCGGCCACCTCGCGCTCCTTCTCTCCGGAGGTGGAGGACGCCGCCGCCGCCGCCGCCGCGCACCCGTCCCTGCCGCCGGCGCTCAGGCGCGCCGTGCAAGCCTGGTACGTGCGTTCTACGATGACTGCCTGACTGATCGATCGCCCTCCTCCTTGGAACTGACAATCCATTGCAGGTACCGGGAGAACGGATCGCGCAAGCCCGACGTGATCGTCCGCGTCCAGGAGCATCGCCTCCCTCTGCACAGGGTAAGATCCTCAACTCCTCGTTCTCTCCTGCCTCAAACGATTGCCCAGTCCTCTCTGAACATCTCTGCTGGGTGATACATGCTCAACTTCAGATATTTTCTCCACTGGATTTTAGCTAAATTATTTCTAGTTCAAAGTTTTCTCCGCTGTACTGCCATCTCGATCGACATTTTCAAACATGGCAACCGAACCGATCGACCTCTCTGTTTCTGCCGCATTAGTGACGCCTACAGTTTTTTTCCCATCCCCTTCTTTTATGACAGATCGTGCTGCAGCTGGTGGTATGCCTTCCGTTAGTTAGAAAAACAATAATGAACATTTTTCAATCATGCATGGAGAATTAACTCGTGTGCTGGGCTCGGCTGGCTGTGGATATACCCGAACGAAATTTTTAAGCCTAATTAGTTCATGATTTGGCAAGGTAGTGATACAGTGAAGCTACAGTAGCATATGTTAGTGTCGGATTAGTTAGGCTTAATAAATTCATCTTGCGGAGTACTAATGACTTCTGTAATTTGTTTTATTATTACTATCAAACACTCGTATGAAATATCTCCATGTGACGTTCTAAACTTTAGCTTTGGATTTAAATGAGTCCTAACTCTGCCTTCCAATTTCATCATCGTAGTTGTAGTTGATGAGTTTGGCTGAGCGCCTGAGCGTCAATCGGAGCCAGGAATGGTCTCTGCCAGTTCTGCCCCACGAGGAACAGCTCCCAACAATGGCGTCCGAAGAGGCAATAATGATGACGTAGTATCTGTCGCTCATTTATTTACCGCTACGTCACCCTTAGTCAGGGCAGTCACGATGATATACCTATTAATTTCGGCAGGCACTGTATATATAGAAACCATGTTCCAATAGATACTTTCAACAGAATAATTTTTTATCCAATCACATACATTCTCTACCAATCACATTCCTTCATATCTTGGTTCCGTAGACATAGTTTCTAACTTATACCCGGTTTCTATGATTTTTGCTCTCTCTTCAATAGCTATATTGCCAAAATCAAAAACGCTTATGTATGACAAGTATAATTAATGTCCATAGAAACTATAATGATTTCTGCATTGGGATCGGCCTTAGCGCAGCAGTCCTCAGGAGTCGTAACTTTCAGTAAAAAAAAAGAGTCGTAACTTTCAGTCTACTCTTTCTGTAACCGCCAAATGACTACTGCCTGCCGGGCAAGTTGCATGCAGCATGCATATGGCATTATGGCCATCTAGCGTTCCACACTTCTTGTAGTGCTACTCCTACATTGTAGCTTCGTTGCGTTGGTGATTTGAACTGGAATTTTAAGATGGGAGTGGAGCAGAGATCCAACGATCTGGTTTGGTCCCTCCATGGCATGCCAGTTGTCACATGTGCACATCAGTTTGCGCCTTAAATTCTAGGTGGATGTACAGCCGATGCTGCCGGGGTTTCGAATACGCGCGGCCGTATAGGTCTGGGACCAGATCATAGTGTCGACGTACGCGTACGAACGTAGCGGCCATACGTAAATATGCCAGGATACGTATGTTTAGCAATTACTGAACGATTCGTGTGTAGTACTAGTAATCTCTGCAGGGTAGGTCCGTGAACAAAGCTGCGTGCAGTAGTCTGGCTCTGGCAAGGGCCACTGCAAATCTGTAAAGTTGCGTACCATTACTCCCTTGCCAAACATTCCTAAACTGCTCTGTCACGTGCACGGCCACTAATAAGAGTAATCAAGATCTGACTCCTCGCCCTGCAACAATTTGGCGTTGCTATCTTGTGGGGCTTGGCTAATCATTCGCCAGATCATATGGTCTATAGCTTTCCTCCTGATTGCAGCCACTTTGGCTCACGTAACCTAAAATTTGACAGTACCTTACGTACGGATAGTACACTTATTTTTCGTGTCTTTGTTGCTACTGCTAGTGACTGAAAGACTGACGTGACCAGATCATGTTTCGAAAAATTATGGAATTTTGCAGGAGCCAGCTCAATCCATGCCGCAATAATGTTTGTGTTTAGTAACTTTACAAACCGGTTACTAGTGTGTTCGTTGAAGAGTGAAGTGATCATTCTTCACCCGAATTTTGCAAAGATTTTAACATCTCATTGTTCGCAGGACGTAATCACGTCGCGAAGCAGCTACCTGAGGCGTCTGCTGTCGGAGTCCAGCGACGTCGCCATCGCGCTGCCGGCGGGCCTCACGTTCGACGCGTTCGCGCAGGCCATCGCGACCTGCTACGGCTCCGACGATGCAGCAGCGGCGCTGTCCCCAGCGAGCCTCGCGGCGGCGTGGGCGGCGGCGGGCTGGCTGGAGCTGGGCCCGGGCGCGGGGCGGGACCCCTACGACCTGGCCCACGCCGCGGAGGACTACTTCTTCCATGAGGTGGCCACCGACCACGGCCGCGCCGCGGGCGTGCTGCGGTGCTGCGCGGCGTTCCTGGGCGGCGAGGCTGCCGGCCCCGCCGCGGACCTGCTCGTCCGGTGCCTCGAGGTGCTCGCGGCGTCCGACAGCGGGAGCGGGAGGTGGCTCGACGACGTGGCCGCGCTCCCCGTGGAGGAGTTCCTGGTGGCCGTGGAGGCCATGCGCGCGCGGTTCGCGCACGACCACGACCTCATGTACACCGTCGTCGACCACTACCTGGAGGTACGTACTTAACACGAATTTGCATCGGGTTGTGCTTGGTTTGATCGATGCCCACGATAGTGGAGCTCACATCACATGACAGAAATCACGTGCCATCGATTGTTACTGGTGATTTCCTCTTATCACACAATGATGGCTTGGATAATGCCTTTGGAGCTTTTTGCTTAGGTGTACAATGAGACCATAGGACCACCATTAATGGTGCTCGCTGTACTTGCGCAGTTGCGCTTAGGTTTGTGTTGTCAGAAGAAAATAATTGTTCTTCGCCAGCCTTATGCCCAAGCAAGTCTCAGATGCTTCGAGTCATATGGGCCGTCTGTATTTTGTCTTTGGTCTACTCTGAGTTCGGTCTTCGGTGTGCACTTTAGGCTGAGTATCTTTTCAGAAAATGTCATGGCACTTCAACTTTGAGAATTCAGGAATGCGTTTGTGCTCTGCAGCTTACATGCAGAGTTGAGTTTTGTTGCCTTGATTCAATTTACCACAGGCTATTTGCTCTCACGGTCCTACTGTACTTGGTACCAAGCAGTTAAGGTAGTAGACTGCCATTGCAAGTCACCTTTAAAATGAATTGTAATTGCTCAACAAAATGTAGGCTAGTGCCATGTCAGAAGAAAATAATTGTTCCATGCTACAATGGCCGTTTTACCTATCAGTTTTCCGGTTGGGTGAAAAATTACTGCAGTACTACAATGGCCTTGTTGTTGATCTGTTTAGTGATTCCATGCTTAGAGTACAAGCAATTCACAAACAGTAGAAAGTGGAATAATCTAGACAGTACATTGGAAGCTTTGTCTTTGGTTTTTTTTTTTTTACTGACTTTATTTATCTTTAGGTTGAGTATCTGTTGAAAAGTCATGACAGTTCAGCTTTAAGAAATGTGCTTGTGCGCTGCAGTTTACACATCAGCAGAGTCTGGTTGCCTTGAATTTGGCACCACAGACTGATTACTGATATACTCGTACTTCGTAATACCAACTATAGCAAACAGTTTAGAGTGCCTGACTGCCATTGCAAGCAATCACCTTTAACCCACTTTTTTAATGATTATTAATCACCCTTGACTTGGATGGTGTGGTCCGAAATGTAGTAGTTATACAAAATGAGAAATGCAATGGATTATGTTCGAATCTTTGAGCCTTTTTTACTACTCCCTTCGTTCCAAATTATAAGTCGTTTTGACTTTTTTGGTACATCCATTTTGCTACGTACGTAAACATATTATTATACCTAGATGCATAGCATAATGGATATACCAAAAAATTTAAAGAGACTTCTAATTTGGAACAGAGCGAGTACTTGCAAACTCACATGGCGAACGAACTGATTTCAGAGTTTCAGACATAATAGTGTACACTGTACTTTTTTGTTCAGAACCACAAGGGGAAGCTTACGGAGGAGGACAAATCCCGGTTGTGCTACAACGTCAACTGCACCAAGCTGTCGCAGCACCTCTTCATGCACCTCGTCCAAAACCCGCGCCTCCCGCTCCGCTTCGTCGTGCAGGCCATGTTCGTGGAGCAGCTCCACTCCCAGCACACCATGCTCCTCAGCCATCACCACCAGGCCGCTGCACCGGCGCCGACGCGATCGGAAGCGCCGCTCCTCAAGCCGTCCCTCTCGGGCGTCTTCAGGGGCGGCGGCGTCGCGGTCCCGGGGGAGGACGACAGCATGTCGCTCGGCGACATCCTCCAGCGCGATGCCGCGCTGCGCCAGTCCGCGCACATCCGGGCGTCCATGCAGGCCACCAGCCTTCGCATCGACACCCTCGAGCGCGAGCTGGCGGGTCTCCGCACCCGCTTGCGCCGTTCCGAGCAGCAGCAGGCCGAGGCCGAGGCAGCGGCCGCCACTGGCGCCACCTTGATCGGCAAGTCCGCCAGCTTCCGGATCCCGCGAAGCCGGCTCTGGGACGGCGAGGAGCTCGCGCCCGTTGGCCCCGGGCGCGCCGCTGCCAGGGACAGCAATGCGAGAGGCTTCAAGTCACGGTTGGTGCACGGGTTCAAGAACCTGTTCGGCAGGAGGCAAGGGGCCGCCGGTGCGCTGTCTGCGTGCAGCGAGGACGCCAGTACCCGCTGCTTCGGTGACAAAGGCCCCGCCGCTGCTGCGCCGGAGCTGGGGAGCGACGACGACGAGGTGGTGTGCATGGAGGAGAGGTGGTGGCCTCACCGGAGAAACCACTCTCTTGTGCGATCAGCACCGTCCATGCGCTGGCAAACAATGTTGGAACATGCAAGCAGGTATGGAGTGTAGAGATCCTTGGTATATGGTGCTATTTTCACACGGCCATATATGCCATCATCGATTATTGTTAGCTTGTTTCTGTTGGTGGATGTACCGTGTACGGTTCTTGGATACAAGGCTCAAGAACCAGCCTTGTGTTTTAACATGTCGCTGCTTACAGAGAATGAGAGGGTTAGTTGCTGCTTTGAGTAGTTAATTACTATGGTTTTACTCACCATGCAATGTCTTTATTGGCCATAGTATATGTGTGTTCGCGCGCTTTGGACAGGTGAAGGATCACTATGCACATAACACTACTAGTGCAAGACACTGGCTAACCGTGCGTCCGTGCCCCCGCCTCCGTGAATGGTCAGTGCGGCTCCAGAAAATACCCACCTCCAAAAATTATTTACCGAGGTGGATGTCATAGGAGGACCGCGTCCATTAACACCTGCCTTCATAAATTGATTTTTCAAGACGGACAACATAAGACGTTCGTCTCTGTTAATCAATGATTTTTTCGGAGACGGCCACTCTATTTTAAGTGGTTGTCTCCTAAAATCGATTTAGGGAGGCAGACCTCTATAAATATAAATAGTTGCATCAAATAGTAATTCATAATTTTTTATATAAACCTAGATGAGAGTATAGATGTCCAACAGGGCAGCCTGACTGGCTCGACATGGGCCCAAGCACTTGCCGGACGAGGGTCGAGCCGGCATGGCATGCCATGCCTCTCGGGCCGCGTGGCTGCTGCAGTCTCGGGCACGACCGCTGCCCAGGCATGACCTGCTAGGCCGATTTTTCGGCCGGTTTGGCGGAAAGCACGGCTGCGCAGGAGCGAGACAGGCCAACCCGAGGCCTTCGTCGCAGTTGAAGCCTGGGGGGCGCGCTGCGGCCACGGCGTAGAGGAGCCGAGGGTCGAGGCCATGTGAGGGAGAGAGGGAAGAGGAGGAGGCGACGCGAGTTGGGGGAGGTGGCGGCGGCGCGAGTCGACGTGGAGGTGGCAGCCACTCGGTGGCGGCTGGATCAGATCTGCGCGACGTGGAGGTCGGTGAGGTAGAGAGATCCCAGAGATTTGTTCAGCTACCACCGTGGGTATTTGGAGAGGATAGGAGCACGCGAGGCAGGCGAGCTAAGCGTTATGGGTGGCCGAAAGCGATGAAAGAAGAAGAGGAGCGAGATGGGGCGAGCGAGTGCGGGCGGCGGCGCAGCGCATGGAAGAGTCGCGAAGAGCAGTGGCTTCGGCCTTCCGTGTGGAGTCGCCATGGGGAACAGTCGAACAGAGTCGGGTGGCCGAGTTAGTCGATGGGCAGTAGACGATATTGGGCTGTGGATGGATGAATATGTTGGATGTTGGCATGTTAAACTATTTAGCGGGCCAAATACCGTGCCATGACTATTTAGCTGGCTGGGCTGGGCCAAAAGACGTCGTCGCTCTGGGTAAGGCCCAAGCACGATCGCTCCTCGGGTCGGTCAGCCCAGCCTGCTTGAAACTTTGGGCGGGCCATGCTCGTGACGAGCTAAATAGGCGTGCTTCGTGCTGGGCTGCCGGGGCGTGGGCTGCATGGCCAAGAGACAAACTTTATTTGAAAATTGTAGTTCTCGATGGGATCTATAACTTTGTAGTTGAAAAGTTTTTGAATTGAAACTGTTTAGGACCCCAAAACTATGTTGTAAGACTGTCTCCAACATGTGACCCATAAGGGCACCCACACGCAAAATGGGTCTCCGATAGTACTATATCGGCCTCCGACAAGTACGACCCATTTGGGGTGTCGGGAGAAGCAAAATCTAAATCTGAGTATCCTTTCTCGTGGAGACCCATTTCTGAGAAAAAATTTCTCTTTTAGGTCTTGTTGTTAGAGAAGACAAAAATAAGTATTGAAACATTTGCCTGTAGTACCACCCAAACGTGAAATGAGTCTTGTATTTTGGATTTCCATTGTTAGAGATAGTCTAAGGTTACAAATTTTGCTCATCATGAGCATTTACTCCCTAAACATGATTTTTTTTTCTACGTACTCCCTCCGCCCCACAGAGTGCCATTCGCATTTTCCGAGAAAGTCAAACATTCTTAACTTACCAAATATATATAAGAAAATATTAGATGTCTAATTAGTATCATTAGATGAATCATTAAATATATTTTTATAATAAACTTATTTGTAGATATAAATGTTATAATTTTTTTATAAATCTAATCAAATTTAATAAAGTTTGACCGACCGTATTTCACAGTGATATTCCTTTTGAGATGCGGAAGTAGGTAGGACATCGATATTTATCATTACAACAACTATACAGTAGCATATGTTAGTGTCGGATTAGTTAGGCTTAATAAATTCATGGAAAGAGTACTAATGACTTCACGTAATTTGTTTTATTATTACTATCAAACACTCGTATGAAATATCTCCATGTGACGTTCTAAACTTTAGCTTTGGATTTAAATGAGTCCTAACTCTGCCTTCCAATTTCATCATCGTAGTTGTAGTTGATGAGTTTGGCTGAGCGCCTGAGCGTCAATCGGAGCCAGGAATGGTCTCTGCCAGTTCTGCCCCACGAGGAACAGCTCCCAACAATGGCGTCCGAAGAGGCAATAATGATGACGTAGTATCTGTCGCTCATTTATTTACCGCTACGTCACCCTTAGTCAGGGCAGTCACGATGATATACCTATTAATTTCGGCAGGCACTGTATATATAGAAACCATGTTCCAATAGATACTTTCAACAGAATAATTTTTTATCCAATCACATACATTCTCTACCAATCACATTCCTTCATATCTTGGTTCTCGTGTAGACATAGTTTCTAACTTATACCCGGTTTCTATGATTTTTGCTCTCTCTTCAATAGCTATATTGCCAAATCAGCAAAACGCTTATGTGACAGTATAATTAATGTCCATAGAAACTATAATGATTTCTGCATTGGGATCGGCCTTAGCGCAGCAGTCCTCAGGAGTCGTAACTTTCAGTAAAAAAAAAAAGAGTCGTAACTTTCAGTCTACTCTTTCTGTAACCGCCAAATGACTACTGCCTGCCGGGCAAGTTGCATGCAGCATGCATATGGCATTATGGCCATCTAGCGTTCCACACTTCTTGTAGTGCTACTCCTACATTGTAGCTTCGTTGCGTTGGTGATTTGAACTGGAATTTTAAGATGGGAGTGGAGCAGAGATCCAACGATCTGGTTTGGTCCCTCCATGGCATGCCAGTTGTCACATGTGCACATCAGTTTGCGCCTTAAATTCTAGGTGGATGTACAGCCGATGCTGCCGGGGTTTCGAATACGCGCGGCCGTATAGGTCTGGGACCAGATCATAGTGTCGACGTACGCGTACGAACGTAGCGGCCATACGTAAATATGCCAGGATACGTATGTTTAGCAATTACTGAACGATTCGTGTGTAGTACTAGTAATCTCTGCAGGGTAGGTCCGTGAACAAAGCTGCGTGCAGTAGTCTGGCTCTGGCAAGGGCCACTGCAAATCTGTAAAGTTGCGTACCATTACTCCCTTGCCAAACATTCCTAAACTGCTCTGTCACGTGCACGGCCACTAATAAGAGTAATCAAGATCTGACTCCTCGCCCTGCAACAATTTGGCGTTGCTATCTTGTGGGCTTGGCTAATCATTCGCCAGATCATATGGTCTATAGCTTTCCTCCTGATTGCAGCCACTTTGGCTCACGTAACCTAAAATTTGACAGTACCTTACGTACGGATAGTACACTTATTTTCGTGTCTTTGTTGCTACTGCTAGTGACTGAAAGACTGACGTGACCAGATCATGTTTCGAAAAATTATGGAATTTTGCAGGAGCCAGCTCAATCCATGCCGCAATAATGTTTGTGTTTAGTAACTTTACAAACCGGTTACTAGTGTGTTCGTTGAAGAGTGAAGTGATCATTCTTCACCCGAATTTTGCAAAGATTTTAACATCTCATTGTTCGCAGGACGTAATCACGTCGCGAAGCAGCTACCTGAGGCGTCTGCTGTCGGAGTCCAGCGACGTCGCCATCGCGCTGCCGGCGGGCCTCACGTTCGACGCGTTCGCGCAGGCCATCGCGACCTGCTACGGCTCCGACGATGCAGCAGCGGCGCTGTCCCCAGCGAGCCTCGCGGCGGCGTGGGCGGCGGCGGGCTGGCTGGAGCTGGGCCGGGCGCGGGCGGGACCCCTACGACCTGGCCCACGCCGCGGAGGACTACTTCTTCCATGAGGTGGCCACCGACCACGGCCGCGCCGCGGGCGTGCTGCGGTGCTGCGCGGCGTTCCTGGGCGGCGAGGCTGCCGGCCCCGCCGCGGACCTGCTCGTCCGGTGCCTCGAGGTGCTCGAGGCGTCCGACAGCGGGAGCGGGAGGTGGCTCGACGACGTGGCCGCGCTCCCCGTGGAGGAGTTCCTGGTGGCCGTGGAGGCCATGCGCGCGCGGTTCGCGCACGACCACGACCTCATGTACACCGTCGTCGACCACTACCTGGAGGTACGTACTTAACACGAATTTGCATCGGGTTGTGCTTGGTTTGATCGATGCCCACGATAGTGGAGCTCACATCACATGACAGAAATCACGTGCCATCGATTGTTACTGGTGATTTCCTCTTATCACACAATGATGGCTTGGATAATGCCTTTGGAGCTTTTTTGCTTAGGTGTACAATGAGACCATAGGACCACCATTAATGGTGCTCGCTGTACTTGCGCAGTTGCGCTTAGGTTTGTGTTGTCAGAAGAAAATAATTGTTCTTCGCCAGCCTTATGCCCAAGCAAGTCTCAGATGCTTGAGTCATATGGGCCGTCTGTATTTTGTCTTTGGTCTACTCTGAGTTCGGTCTTCGGTGTGCACTTTAGGCTGAGTATCTTTTCAGAAAATGTCATGGCACTTCAACTTTGAGAATTCAGGAATGCGTTTGTGCTCTGCAGCTTACATGCAGAGTTGAGTTTTGTTGCCTTGATTCAATTTACCACAGGCTATTTGCTCTCACGGTCCTACTGTACTTGGTACCAAGCAGTTAAGGTAGTAGACTGCCATTGCAAGTCACCTTTAAAATGAATTGTAATTGCTCAACAAAATGTAGGCTAGTGCCATGTCAGAAGAAAATAATTGTTCCATGCTACAATGGCCGTTTTACCTATCAGTTTTCCGGTTGGGTGAAAAATTACTGCAGTACTACAATGGCCTTGTTGTTGATCTGTTTAGTGATTCCATGCTTAGAGTACAAGCAATTCACAAACAGTAGAAAGTGGAATAATCTAGACAGTACATTGGAAGCTTTGTCTTTGGTTTTTTTTTACTGACTTTATTTATCTTTAGGTTGAGTATCTGTTGAGAAAAGTCATGACAGTTCAGCTTTAAGAAATGTGCTTGTGCGCTGCAGTTTACACATCAGCAGAGTCTGGTTGCCTTGAATTTGGCACCACAGACTGATTACTGATATACTCGTACTTCGTAATACCAACTATAGCAAACAGTTTAGAGTGCCTGACTGCCATTGCAAGCAATCACCTTTAACCCACTTTTTTAATGATTATTAATCACCCTTGACTTGGATGGTGTGGTCCGAAATGTAGTAGTTATACAAAATGAGAAATGCAATGGATTATGTTCGAATCTTTGAGCCTTTTTTTACTATTTTTCCTTCGCTCCAAATTATAAGTCGTTTTGACTTTTTTGGTACATCCATTTTTCTACTACGACGTAAACATATTATTATACCTAGATGCATAAGATAATGGATATACCAAAAATTTAAAAAGACTTTAATAATTGGAACAGAGCGAGTACTTGCAAACTCACATGGCGAACGAACTGATTTCAGAGTTTCAGACATAATAGTGTACACTGTACTTTTTTGTTCAGAACCACAAGGGGAAGCTTACGGAGGAGGACAAATCCCGGTTGTGCTACAACGTCAACTGCACCAAGCTGTCGCAGCACCTCTTCATGCACCTCGTCCAAAACCCGCGCCTCCCGCTCCGCTTCGTCGTGCAGGCCATGTTCGTGGAGCAGCTCCACTCCCAGCACACCATGCTCCTCAGCCATCACCACCAGGCCGCTGCACCGGCGCCGACGCGATCGGAAGCGCCGCTCCTCAAGCCGTCCCTCTCGGGCGTCTTCAGGGGCGGCGGCGTCGCGGTCCCGGGGGAGGACGACAGCATGTCGCTCGGCGACATCCTCCAGCGCGATGCCGCGCTGCGCCAGTCCGCGCACATCCGGGCGTCCATGCAGGCCACCAGCCTTCGCATCGACACCCTCGAGCGCGAGCTGGCGGGTCTCCGCACCCGCTTGCGCCGTTCCGAGCAGCAGCAGGCCGAGGCCGAGGCAGCGGCCGCCACTGGCGCCACCTTGATCGGCAAGTCCGCCAGCTTCCGGATCCCGCGAAGCCGGCTCTGGGACGGCGAGGAGCTCGCGCCCGTTGGCCCCGGGCGCGCCGCTGCCAGGGACAGCAATGCGAGAGGCTTCAAGTCACGGTTGGTGCACGGGTTCAAGAACCTGTTCGGCAGGAGGCAAGGGGCCGCCGGTGCGCTGTCTGCGTGCAGCGAGGACGCCAGTACCCGCTGCTTCGGTGACAAAGGCCCCGCCGCTGCTGCGCCGGAGCTGGGGAGCGACGACGACGAGGTGGTGTGCATGGAGGAGAGGTGGTGGCCTCACCGGAGAAACCACTCTCTTGTGCGATCAGCACCGTCCATGCGCTGGCAAACAATGTTGGAACATGCAAGCAGGTATGGAGTGTAGAGATCCTTGGTATATGGTGCTATTTTCACACGGCCATATATGCCATCATCGATTATTGTTAGCTTGTTTCTGTTGGTGGATGTACCGTGTACGGTTCTTGGATACAAGGCTCAAGAACCAGCCTTGTGTTTTTAACATGTCGCTGCTTACAGAGAATGAGAGGGTTAGTTGCTGCTTTGAGTAGTTAATTACTATGGTTTTACTCACCATGCAATGTCTTTATTGGCCATAGTATATGTGTGTTCGCGCGCTTTGGACAGGTGAAGGATCACTATGCACATAACACTACTAGTGCAAGACACTGGCTAACCGTGCGTCCGTGCCCCCGCCTCCGTGAATGGTCAGTGCGGCTCCAGAAAAATACCCACCTCCAAAAATTATTTACCGAGGTGGATGTCATAGGAGGACCGCGTCCATTAACACCTGCCTTCATAAATTGATTTTCGAAGACGGACAACATAAGACGTTCGTCTCTGTTAATCAATGATTTTTTCGGAGACGGCCACTCTATTTTAAGTGGTTGTCTCCTAAAATCGATTTAGGGAGGCAGACCTCTATAAATATAAATAGTTGCATCAAATAGTAATTCATAATTTTTTTATATAAACCTAGATGAGAGTATAGATGTCCAACAGGGCAGCCCAGCCTGGCTCGACATGGGCCCGGCACGGCTGGACGAGGGTCGAGCCGGCATGGCATGCCATGCCTCTCGGGCCGTGGCCAAGCAGGTCTCGGGCCTGACCGCGGCCCAGGCATGACCTGCTAGGCCGATTTTCAGGCCGGTTTGGCCCGGAAAGCACGGCCTGCAGAGCGAGACGGGCCAACCCGAGGCCTTCGTCATGATGAAGCCTTGGGGAGCGCATGGCCCGGGCGCACAGAGAGGAGCCGAGGGTCGAGGCCATGTGAGGAGAGAGGGAAGAGGAGGAGGCGACGCGAGTTGGGGGAGGTGGGGCGGCGCGAGTCGACGTGGAGGTGGCAGCCACTCGGTGGCGGCTGGATCAGATCTGCGCGACGTGGAGGTCAGCGGGGTAAGAGAGATCCCAGAGATTTGTCAGGCCACCAAGTGCTGAGAGGATAGGAGCACGAGACGGGGCGAGCTAGCGTTGCGGGCGGCCGAGCGATGAAAGAAGAGGAGCGCGAGATGGGGCGAAGCGAAAGCGGCGGTAATGGCGCAGCGCATGGAAGAGTCGCGAAGCGGTGGCTTGGCCTTCCGTGTGGAGTCGCCATGGGGAAACGATCGAGCAGTCGGGTGGCCGAAAGTTAGTCGATGGGCGATGAGCGATATTGGGTTGTGGATGGATGAATATGTTGGATGTTGGCATGTTAAACTATTTAGCGGGCCAAATACCAAAGCCATGACTATTTAGCGGGTGGGCCAAGCCAAAGACGTCGTGCTCGGGTAAGGCCCAAGCCTGATCGCGCTCCTCGGGCCGGGTCACCTGTGAGCTGCTTGAAGCACTTTGGGCGGGCCATGCTCGTGACGAGCTAAATAGGCGTGCGGTTGGAGCCGCCGGGCGGGCAATTTGCATGGCCAAGAGACAAACTTTATTTGAAAATTGTAGTTCTCGACGGGATCTATAACTTTGTAGTTGAAAAGTTTTTGAATTGAAACTGTTTAGGACCCCAAAACTATGTTGTAAGACTGTCTCCAACATGTGACCCATAAGGGCACCCACACGCAAAATGGGTCTCCGATAGTACTATATCGGCCTCCGACAAGTACGACCCATTTGGGGTGTCAGGAGAAGCAAAATCTAAATCTGAGTATCCTTTCTCGTGGAGACCCATTTACAGAAAAAATTTCTCTTTTAGGTCTTGTTGTTAGAGAAGACAAAAAATAAGTATTGAAACATTTGCCTGTAGTACCACCCAAACGTGAAATGAGTCTTGTATTTTGGATTTCCATTGTTAGAGATAGTCTAAGGTTACAAATTTTGCTCATCATGAGCATTTACTCCCTAAACATGATTTTTTTTTCTACGTACTCCCTCCGCCCCACAGAGTGCCATTCGCATTTTCCGAGAAAGTCAAACATTCTTAACTTACCAAATATATATAAGAAAATATTAGATGTCTAATTAGTATCATTAGATGAATCATTAAATATATTTTTATAATAAACTTATTTGTAGATATAAATGTTATAATTTTTTTTATAAATCTAATCAAATTTAATAAAGTTTGACCGACACGTATTTCACAGTGATATTCCTTTTGAGATGCGGAAGTAGGTAGGACATCGATATTTATCATTACAACAACTATACAGTAGCATATGTTAGTGTCGGATTAGTTAGGCTTAATAAATTCATCTTGCGGAGTACTAATGACTTCTGTAATTTGTTTTATTATTACTATCAAACACTCGTATGAAATATCTCCATGTGACGTTCTAAACTTTAGCTTTGGATTTAAATGAGTCCTAACTCTGCCTTCCAATTTCATCATCGTAGTTGTAGTTGATGAGTTTGGCTGAGCGCCTGAGCGTCAATCGGAGCCAGGAATGGTCTCTGCCAGTTCTGCCCCACGAGGAACAGCTCCCAACAATGGCGTCCGAAGAGGCAATAATGATGACGTAGTATCTGTCGCTCATTTATTTACCGCTACGTCACCCTTAGTCAGGGCAGTCACGATGATATACCTATTAATTTCGGCAGGCACTGTATATATAGAAACCATGTTCCAATAGATACTTTCAACAGAATAATTTTTTATCCAATCACATACATTCTCTACCAATCACATTCCTTCATATCTTGGTTCTCGTGTAGACATAGTTTCTAACTTATACCCGGTTTCTATGATTTTGCTCTCTCTTCAATAGCTATATTGCCAAATCAAGAAAACGCTTATGTGACAAGATAATTAATGTCCATAGAAACTATAATGATTTCGCATTGGGATCGGCCTTAGCGCAGCAGTCCTCAGGAGTCGTAACTTTCAGTAAAAAAAAAAAAGAGTCGTAACTTTCAGTCTACTCTTTCTGTAACCGCCAAATGACTACTGCCTGCCGGGCAAGTTGCATGCAGCATGCATATGGCATTATGGCCATCTAGCGTTCCACACTTCTTGTAGTGCTACTCCTACATTGTAGCTTCGTTGCGTTGGTGATTTGAACTGGAATTTTAAGATGGGAGTGGAGCAGAGATCCAACGATCTGGTTTGGTCCCTCCATGGCATGCCAGTTGTCACATGTGCACATCAGTTTGCGCCTTAAATTCTAGGTGGATGTACAGCCGATGCTGCCGGGGTTTCGAATACGCGCGGCCGTATAGGTCTGGGACCAGATCATAGTGTCGACGTACGCGTACGAACGTAGCGGCCATACGTAAATATGCCAGGATACGTATGTTTAGCAATTACTGAACGATTCGTGTGTAGTACTAGTAATCTCTGCAGGGTAGGTCCGTGAACAAAGCTGCGTGCAGTAGTCTGGCTCTGGCAAGGGCCACTGCAAATCTGTAAAGTTGCGTACCATTACTCCCTTGCCAAACATTCCTAAACTGCTCTGTCGTGCACGGCCACTAATAAGAGTAATCAAGATCTGACTCCTCGCCCTGCAACAATTTGGCGTTGCTATCTTGTGGGGCTTGGCTAATCATTCGCCAGATCATATGGTCTATAGCTTTCCTCCTGATTGCAGCCACTTTGGCTCACGTAACCTAAAATTTGACAGTACCTTACGTACGGATAGTACACTTATTTTTCGTGTCTTTGTTGCTACTGCTAGTGACTGAAAGACTGACGTGACCAGATCATGTTTCGAAAAATTATGGAATTTTGCAGGAGCCAGCTCAATCCATGCCGCAATAATGTTTGTGTTTAGTAACTTTACAAACCGGTTACTAGTGTGTTCGTTGAAGAGTGAAGTGATCATTCTTCACCCGAATTTTGCAAAGATTTTAACATCTCATTGTTCGCAGGACGTAATCACGTCGCGAAGCAGCTACCTGAGGCGTCTGCTGTCGGAGTCCAGCGACGTCGCCATCGCGCTGCCGGCGGGCCTCACGTTCGACGCGTTCGCGCAGGCCATCGCGACCTGCTACGGCTCCGACGATGCAGCAGCGGCGCTGTCCCCAGCGAGCCTCGCGGCGGCGTGGGCGGCGGCGGGCTGGCTGGAGCTGGGCCCGGGCGCGGGGCGGGACCCCTACGACCTGGCCCACGCCGCGGAGGACTACTTCTTCCATGAGGTGGCCACCGACCACGGCCGCGCCGCGGGCGTGCTGCGGTGCTGCGCGGCGTTCCTGGGCGGCGAGGCTGCCGGCCCCGCCGCGGACCTGCTCGTCCGGTGCCTCGAGGTGCTCGAGGCGTCCGACAGCGGGAGCGGGAGGTGGCTCGACGACGTGGCCGCGCTCCCCGTGGAGGAGTTCCTGGTGGCCGTGGAGGCCATGCGCGCGCGGTTCGCGCACGACCACGACCTCATGTACACCGTCGTCGACCACTACCTGGAGGTACGTACTTAACACGAATTTGCATCGGGTTGTGCTTGGTTTGATCGATGCCCACGATAGTGGAGCTCACATCACATGACAGAAATCACGTGCCATCGATTGTTACTGGTGATTTCCTCTTATCACACAATGATGGCTTGGATAATGCCTTTGGAGCTTTTTGCTTAGGTGTACAATGAGACCATAGGACCACCATTAATGGTGGTGCTCGCTGTACTTGCGCAGTTGCGCTTAGGTTTGTGTTGTCAGAAGAAAATAATTGTTCTTCGCCAGCCTTATGCCCAAGCAAGTCTCAGATGCTTCGAGTCATATGGGCCGTCTGTATTTTGTCTTTGGTCTACTCTGAGTTCGGTCTTCGGTGTGCACTTTAGGCTGAGTATCTTTTCAGAAAATGTCATGGCACTTCAACTTTGAGAATTCAGGAATGCGTTTGTGCTCTGCAGCTTACATGCAGAGTTGAGTTTTGTTGCCTTGATTCAATTTACCACAGGCTATTTGCTCTCACGGTCCTACTGTACTTGGTACCAAGCAGTTAAGGTAGTAGACTGCCATTGCAAGTCACCTTTAAAATGAATTGTAATTGCTCAACAAAATGTAGGCTAGTGCCATGTCAGAAGAAAATAATTGTTCCATGCTACAATGGCCGTTTTACCTATCAGTTTTCCGGTTGGGTGAAAAATTACTGCAGTACTACAATGGCCTTGTTGTTGATCTGTTTAGTGATTCCATGCTTAGAGTACAAGCAATTCACAAACAGTAGAAAGTGGAATAATCTAGACAGTACATTGGAAGCTTTGTCTTTGGTTTTTTTTTTTTTACTGACTTTATTTATCTTTAGGTTGAGTATCTGTTGAGAAAAGTCATGACAGTTCAGCTTTAAGAAATGTGCTTGTGCGCTGCAGTTTACACATCAGCAGAGTCTGGTTGCCTTGAATTTGGCACCACAGACTGATTACTGATATACTCGTACTTCGTAATACCAACTATAGCAAACAGTTTAGAGTGCCTGACTGCCATTGCAAGCAATCACCTTTAACCCACTTTTTTAATGATTATTAATCACCCTTGACTTGGATGGTGTGGTCCGAAATGTAGTAGTTATACAAAATGAGAAATGCAATGGATTATGTTCGAATCTTTGAGCCTTTTTTACTACTCCCTTCGTTCCAAATTATAAGTCGTTTTGACTTTTTTGGTACATCCATTTTGCTACGTACGTAAACATATTATTATACCTAGATGCATAGCATAATGGATATACCAAAAAATTTAAAGAGACTTCTAATTTGGAACAGAGCGAGTACTTGCAAACTCACATGGCGAACGAACTGATTTCAGAGTTTCAGACATAATAGTGTACACTGTACTTTTTTGTTCAGAACCACAAGGGGAAGCTTACGGAGGAGGACAAATCCCGGTTGTGCTACAACGTCAACTGCACCAAGCTGTCGCAGCACCTCTTCATGCACCTCGTCCAAAACCCGCGCCTCCCGCTCCGCTTCGTCGTGCAGGCCATGTTCGTGGAGCAGCTCCACTCCCAGCACACCATGCTCCTCAGCCATCACCACCAGGCCGCTGCACCGGCGCCGACGCGATCGGAAGCGCCGCTCCTCGCCGTCCCCTCCGGGCGTCTTCAGGGGCGGCGGCGTCGCGGTCCCGGGGAGGACGACAGCATGTCGCTCGGCGACATCCTCCAGCGCGATGCCGCGCTGCGCCAGTCCGCGCACATCCGGGCGTCCATGCAGGCCACCAGCCTTCGCATCGACACCCTCGAGCGCGAGCTGGCGGGTCTCCGCACCCGCTTGCGCCGTTCCGAGCAGCAGCAGGCCGAGGCCGAGGCAGCGGCCGCCACTGGCGCCACCTTGATCGGCAAGTCCGCCAGCTTCCGGATCCCGCGAAGCCGGCTCTGGGACGGCGAGGAGCTCGCGCCCGTTGGCCCCTGGGCGCGCCGCTGCCAGGGACAGCAATGCGAGAGGCTTCAAGTCACGGTTGGTGCACGGGTTCAAGAACCTGTTCGGCAGGAGGCAAGGGGCCGCCGGTGCGCTGTCTGCGTGCAGCGAGGACGCCAGTACCCGCTGCTTCGGTGACAAAGGCCCCGCTGCGCTGCTGCGCCGGAGCTGGGGAGCGACGACGACGAGGTGGTGTGCATGGAGGAGAGGTGGTGGCCTCACCGGAGAAACCACTCTCTTGTGCGATCAGCACCGTCCATGCGCTGGCAAACAATGTTGGAACATGCAAGCAGGTATGGAGTGTAGAGATCCTTGGTATATGGTGCTATTTTCACACGGCCATATATGCCATCATCGATTATTGTTAGCTTGTTTCTGTTGGTGGATGTACCGTGTACGGTTCTTGGATACAAGGCTCAAGAACCAGCCTTGTGTTTTTAACATGTCGCTGCTTACAGAGAATGAGAGGGTTAGTTGCTGCTTTGAGTAGTTAATTACTATGGTTTTACTCACCATGCAATGTCTTTATTGGCCATAGTATATGTGTGTTCGCGCGCTTTGGACAGGTGAAGGATCACTATGCACATAACACTACTAGTGCAAGACACTGGCTAACCGTGCGTCCGTGCCCCCGCCTCCGTGAATGGTCAGTGCGGCTCCAGAAAAATACCCACCTCCAAAAATTATTTACCGAGGTGGATGTCATAGGAGGACCGCGTCCATTAACACCTGCCTTCATAAATTGATTTTCGAAGACGGACAACATAAGACGTTCGTCTCTGTTAATCAATGATTTTTTCGGAGACGGCCACTCTATTTTAAGTGGTTGTCTCCTAAAATCGATTTAGGGAGGCAGACCTCTATAAATATAAATAGTTGCATCAAATAGTAATTCATAATTTTTTTATATAAACCTAGATGAGAGTATAGATGTCCAACAGGGCAGCCCAGCCTGGCTCGACATGGGCCCGGCACGGCTGGACGAGGGTCGAGCCGGCATGGCATGCCATGCCTCTCGGGCCGTGGCCAAGCAGGTCTCGGGCCTGACCGCGGCCCAGGCATGACCTGCTAGGCCGATTTTCAGGCCGGTTTGGCCCGGAAAGCACGGCCTGCAGAGCGAGACGGGCCAACCCGAGGCCTTCGTCGCAGTGAAGCCTTGGGGGAGCGTCGCCGCCGGCCGCGTAGAGGAGCCGAGGGTCGAGGCCATGTGAGGGAGAGAGGGAAGAGGAGGAGGCGACGCGAGTTGGGGGAGGTGGCGGCGGCGCGAGTCGACGTGGAGGTGGCAGCCACTCGGTGGCGGCTGGATCAGATCTGCGCGACGTGGAGGTCAGCGGGGTAAGAGAGATCCCAGAGACGGTCAGGCCACCAGCGGCGCTGGAGAGGATAGGAGCACGAGACGGGGCGAGCTAGCGTTGCGGGCGGCCGAGCGATGAAAGAAGAGGAGCGCGAGATGGGGCGAGCGAGTGCGGGCGGCGGCGCAGCGCATGGAAGAGTCGCGAAGAGCAGTGGCTTCGGCCTTCCGTGTGGAGTCGCCATGGGGAACAGTCGAACAGAGTCGGGTGGCCGAGTTAGTCGATGGGCAGTAGACGATATTGGGCTGTGGATGGATGAATATGTTGGATGTTGGCATGTTAAACTATTTAGCGGGCCAAATACCAGGCCATGACTATTTAGCGGGCTGGGCCAAGCCAGCACGTCGTGCCTGGGGTAAGGCCCAAGCACAGACTGCTCCCTCGGGCCGGGTCAGCCCAGGCCTGCTGAGCACTGGGCCGGGCCATGCTCGTGACGAGCTAAATAGGCGTGCTTCGTGCTGGGCTGCCGGGGCGTGGGCTGCATGGCCAAGAGACAAACTTTATTTGAAAATTGTAGTTCTCGACGGGATCTATAACTTTGTAGTTGAAAAGTTTTTGAATTGAAACTGTTTAGGACCCCAAAACTATGTTGTAAGACTGTCTCCAACATGTGACCCATAAGGGCACCCACACGCAAAATGGGTCTCCGATAGTACTATATCGGCCTCCGACAAGTACGACCCATTTGGGGTGTCAGGAGAAGCAAAATCTAAATCTGAGTATCCTTTCTCGTGGAGACCCATTTACAGAAAAAATTTCTCTTTTAGGTCTTGTTGTTAGAGAAGACAAAAAATAAGTATTGAAACATTTGCCTGTAGTACCACCCAAACGTGAAATGAGTCTTGTATTTTGGATTTCCATTGTTAGAGATAGTCTAAGGTTACAAATTTTGCTCATCATGAGCATTTACTCCCTAAACATGATTTTTTTTTCTACGTACTCCCTCCGCCCCACAGAGTGCCATTCGCATTTTCCGAGAAAGTCAAACATTCTTAACTTACCAAATATATATAAGAAAATATTAGATGTCTAATTAGTATCATTAGATGAATCATTAAATATATTTTTATAATAAACTTATTTGTAGATATAAATGTTATAATTTTTTTTATAAATCTAATCAAATTTAATAAAGTTTGACCGACACGTATTTCACAGTGATATTCCTTTTGAGATGCGGAAGTAGGTAGGATATCGATATTTATCATTACAACAACTATTGAAATAGGTCCGGTTCTGCACTCAAGATGGCAATCCTCGTTAGATAATACTAAAACAATTATACCATTTCTCTATCTTTGTTTTGTGATATTTATTATCTTTTTTTTAAAGACCCAGTTGCCCGGAATTTATATTAAAATAAGGAGGAAAAACAGATATAACTTGTAGATTACATGCGCCACAAGCGCAGCCTATGCCAGTAAGCATCTAGTTTATTATGTCACAGGCCTTCCAGCAAAAATGTAAAGACTTAGATCCGAAAAAATGTCAAAATTCCAATAGTGTAAATCATGTTCCATGGAGGTTGTGGGACTTTTTTTATATAAAACTAATTGTCGGTGTTTCAAATAAACATCAACTAGTAAATTTATATTTGTTGCGCGTTAGACCCGGATGGTGTACTAAAGGACACAAGATTTATACTGATTCGGACAGAATGTCCCTACGTCCAGTTTGCTAGGGCAGAATGTCCCTACGTCCAGTTTGCTACCGCTCGTGTTATTAGCACTGAAAAAGGTTCGTAGTAGGGGTACAAACGGTCGAAAGAGGGACAGGTCCCAAGTCTCTGATGAAAATATCGAAAGGATGCCAAGAGCTCGGTTGCCGCTTGGCTGTGTATTGTGTGATGTGTGAAATCGATCCGTCCCCTTAGTGGGGTGCCCTGCCCTCCCTTTTATAGACAAGGGGGAGCAGGGATTACAGATGGGAGAAAGAGGAAAAATCAGAGGTAGAGATGGTGCTTCAAAGGTGCCGGGTCTTCCTTTTCCCCTGAGCCTGCCCTACTGACATGGCAGACGGTGTCAGGGATAACACGTTCGCTGATCCTCATAGGGCCGTGATCTGGTTTCGTTCAGCAAGTGGTTACGTCCCATCCTACTCCGGACGGACGGTGCGGCGTGCCAGGGTGTCGAGCCGTGACCCTACGGGGAGCAGATGGAGAAGTAACCATACGTCCGTCACTGTAGATGATGTGAGTTCCCTTCTGGATTATAGTGATTGTCGTATGTTTATGTTAGGATTCGCGTCCGAGGGCTGATGACGGCGCCCACAACACTGTAAGACGAAAGTCGACGCCTACAATACTGTTCGGGCTCTATCATGCCTGGAAGGGCTTAAAGCGCCCGTCCTGTCATATCCTGATGGTACTTGCTCGCAGACGTGCAGAGTATGGTCCTCGGTATTACGGTTGACTTTAGTGTCCTGTCTTACCCTATGCTCGTCATTATGAAGGAGCAGGGCGCAGACGTCGGGCGAGGCGGAGCCCTGCCCTCGGACGTCGGGCGAGGCGGAGCCTACCCCCAGACGTCGGGCAAGACGGAGCCTGCCCTCGGACATCGTGCGAGGCAGAGCCCTGCCCTCGGACGTTGAGCGAGGCGGAGCCAGCCCAGAACGTTGGGTGAGGTGGAGCCCTGCCCTCGGATGTCGAGCAAGGCAGAGCTTGCCCCCAGACATCGTGCGAGGCGGAGCCAGCCCGGAACGTCGGGCGAGGCGGAGCCCTGCCCTCGGACATCTAGCGAGGCGGAGCCTGCCCTCAGACGTCGGGCAAGACGGAGCCAATCTTCAGTCGTTCGGGCAAGAAGTGTAGCTGCATTTTTGTTTGTTCGAAACTATTAACGTCTGATGGTTATTAACTCCTCTTTGGGTACCCCAGTATTAGGTCCCCGACAGTAGCCCCCGAGCCCCCGGGTGATTCAGATAGAATTGCCCGGGGGGTATTTTGATTCGTCAGAGGGTGCGCGCGAGCGCACTCGTCGGGTGTAGCCCCCGGGTGATTCGGATAGAATCATTGGGGGGTAATTCGGACCCTTCGCGGGTATGGCTGTGAGATTTGTTGTTTTGACAACTGGATAGTTTAAAGGAAACCCTGGTATTCCGTTCGTGGGGATTCGTCCAGGGTCAGCCCGGTCGAGACTCGATCATGGATCGAGACTCCCTTGAGGCTCGTGCGCATGAGTTTTGGCCGCTCGTGGACCCATCCCTCGTTGGATGGCCGTTGAAACTATTGGGCCAGCCCTTGAACTCCTAGGCCCAGGCGGGCTGGAGAAATGCTTTTTGACCCGTATCCCCTCTGCGGGAAAAGAGTCCTGGTCTGCCCGGGAAGGCGAAACGTCCGGCGCGACTTTGGTGGGAAAGGATAGGGATCGCGGACGTATATCCCGCGACGTGACGTGGTGGTGTATCGTGGCAAGCACGGAGATCTAGGCTGACGATTGCCCTTCTCGCATCCGTTGCCCCCATAAAACTAAGGGGTTCGCCCTCAGGGTTCCATACTTTGCCTCCTCGCCTTTGCATCTATAACCTCCGCCGCCAATCGCTTGAGCCTCCCGCACCCACATCGCAGCCGCCATCAAGCTCGTATCCAACCACCCCTCCCAATCGTTCAATGGAGCCATGGTGCAGATCTGATATCACCCTTTAGTGCTTGGAGGTCCTCGTTCGACGTGGCCTCCTTTGCCCGTGGGCCACCATCGAGGAGTGGCGGCTGCCCAGCAATGAGGACGCACCATCACCGCCCGAAGGGTATGTCGTATCCTTCACTCACTTCCACGAGCGGGGATTCACCAT